CAGCTGCTTATATGAATAAGGAAGAAAAACATCTAAATTTAAACGGTTCTTTCCTGACCACTTAGATGACAATCATATATATGATACTACAATATCCACATGTTAATATAAATACAATTATTACTGGATGATGGAAAATACTGACCAATAAGACCACCGAGGAGCCAATAGGCATGTAMGTTCACCAACACTGCTTCAGCAGGATCAAAAACATCAAAACCATCTGTTCCACTTTCACAATATTAACATCTCTCATAACAATCACTTGCTCCAGTTGTGTTTGTGAGGTTGTGTGTTTTGTGTCTTTTGTCATACCTCCCTCTTGTGTTCCCTCCTCGTCATTAGGCCTGTTTATTTGTCATTTACTTCTCAGTCAACACACACACCTGTCAGTAGTTTCCATTAGTGTTTTCATCAGCTGTTGTTCATTTCCTCATCCCCTCTGTTTGTATTTATTCTGTTTCAGTTCTCCACACCCTCACTGATTCATTGTTTGGGTTTCCTCCACCTGTTATGGTCTCCTTGTTGTTTTCAGTTTCAGTGTTTTACTTTTGTTGTTTTGCTGCCTCGACAGCTTTTTGTTATGTTTTTCTTTAATAAAAATTTTTCTGTATAAAAACTCCACTCCTCCGTGAGGACCTGGGTTCATTCCTTGCCTCACCCTGACAGTACTCGTGCATTCGCAAAGTTCTTTGAGTTTTTATCTTCTGTCTGGTTAAGAACGCAGGAACTTTTAGAAGTTATCAGACTGCAAAAAACACGCAGAAATATAAAAAACAGGGAAACTGCTGCATACTACGACAGAATATTAGGGCCACACAAAAAGACTTTTTGAGCTATTTTTACGAGATTAAAGTCATACTTAAATAAAATCTTACGAGACCCTGATCTCATAATTACGAGAAAAGATCTCTTAATTACGAAATCTTACCTATGAGATTGTGATCTCATAATTACGAGATCTTATCTCATAATTACTAGAAAATATCTCATAATTATGAGATCTGAGATCCTGATCTCATAATTACGAGAAAAGATTTCTAATTATGAGATCTTATCCATGAGATCCTGATCTCATAATTATGAGAAAATATCTCATAATTACGAGAAAAGATCTCAAAATTACGAGATCTTATCTCATCCATCCATCCATCCATCCATCCATCCATCCATCCATCCATCCATCCATCCATCCATCCATCCATCCATTTTCTTCCGCCTATCCGGGGTCGGGT